AAAAAAAAAAAAAAAAAAAAAAAAAAAAGGAGATTCACAAGTCTTAGAGAGGTGCTAAAAACTAGCACCAGATTAAGACTTTCTACTTGATGGAATCAAAAGGATAGAAAGAGAATAGAAAAGGGAGGTCAGTCAATATTACTTCTAGCACAAAAATGATGCTCTATTCTACCAACAATGTCCACATTTAAAGAAACTCTGAACCAGGTTGGTTGTTTTCAAATGTTCTTTACTGGCAAAATCTTTTCAAATGAAATCCCACATGGAGCCCCAGTATTCAAAAAGGGGAGACAAAATAGACACTCCTCTGGCAGAATGGGGACAGGGCCTCCCCTTGTCCCTTGACACCTTCCTGAGTGTCCCATAGAACCTTCAGGTCCTCAGATCCCAGTCTGTCACCAGTCCTGTCCAGCCCTGACATTTTATGAGGCAACAGGCAAGAACCCAGGGTCTTCCCAGAACCCTTTTTTCCTCTTCCTGGTGTTTCCAGCTCCTCCCATGGAGGCTGCTTCCCAGCATCTGTGGTCCTGGTGCACTGGTGAGTCCTCTAGGACATGTCACGCAGGCTGGGCACACCTGTCCAGCCATCCACAATTCCCGTTACAACACCCTGGGTCCCCAGCCTGGCCCCCAGATACTTCTGACTTCCAGACACTGTTCCTGTCTCTGGCAAGGTGACCACCCCAGGCTGCCCCCTCCTCCAACATGGGCAACTGGCAGAAGCAGAGCAGCAGAAGTCACCCTTGCCACACCCCAAAGCACCCCAAGACAGCATAGCGAGGGGGACACGTGCCCCCCCAGCCAGTTGGTCTAGGTCCCACCTGAAGCATGGCGGGCAAAGCTGAGCTCCTGCTTGCTGACAAGGATGCTGGGCAGCGAGGCCCCGTTGGCCCACTTCTTCAGGATGACGCCGATGTGGTTTCTGCAGGGGCTGCTCAGCCCAGTGGGCACAGAGAGGGTCCCACTGCCCCGGAGGGTAAGGAGGCCTGTGGAGGCAGAGAAAGTCCGAGGACAGAGCTGGTCCTGCCTGTCCCCCAGCCCCAGAGTCCCCCTTTGGAAATGGGCCCGTCAGTGAGCTGCAAGACAGCGGACGTGGCTCCCTGTCCAGTCTCAGGACGGAGAGGGTGGGAGGCGTGGACAGCCTCTCTTTTGGCCCAGGTGTTGGCCAAGAAGTCTCCCCAGCCTGACGGGCCTTTCCCAAGCACCCAGTACCTTCCTTCATCAAGGTCCTCCGGGAGCCCAGCCTCTGGGAAGCGAGCTCCCTCCCCCTCTCCCTCTCCGGCTCCTTCACTCTCCGGACCAGCTCCATCTCCTTCATCTGCTTCAGCCGCATCTTCTCCTGGGCAGACCCGGCAATGGTGACCTGCATCTGGTACAAGATCAAGGCAAACTCCATCATCTTGGGGACCCAAGTGTGCTTTCTATACCTTCTTCATTCATTCCATCATCAGGAACGTGAGTGGCTCCTGTGTGCTGATTGCTGTTCCGAGAATGAACAAAAGGTCAAAGGCCTTGCTCCCCATGAGCCACATGGAGTGGGGAGATGACAGCAAACAGACAGCCTCTAATATCAGGCAACATGCACCGGAAGGCAAGTAAGGGACACAGGGTGACAGGGCTTCTGTTTCGGGTAGGGAGACCCAGAGGGACTCCCAGAGGCGGTGAAATTGAAGCAGAGACATTAATGAAGCGGGGAGCAGGCCCTGAGGCTGAGGTGCACTGGGCGTGGCTGGGAGTCCTGAGGAGGACACAGGCAGGAGCACCCTGAGTCAGGGGCGAGGCAGGACACAGGTCGGAGGTGGCAGGGATGGGGCCGGAGCCACAGCGCACTGGGCCCTGTGGTCCATGGTGGGCACTTGGGCTTTTCCTCTGGAGGACACAGCAAGCCACTGGAGGTTTTGAGCAGAAGAGTGACGTGATCTGATTCTTTTTTTTTTCTTTTTCTTTTTTTTGGCTGGAATGGGGGTATTCTCTAAGTGTTGTTTTTAATAACTTCTTATTTTGAAATAATTTAAGACTCACGAGAAGTTGCAAAAATAGAACAAGAGGTTCCCATGAGGTGGGACTTGGACTAGGATAGCAGGAATAAAGATGGTAGAATGGCTAGATTCTGGACATGTTTCAAAAGTGGAGCCCACAGCTCTGGCTGATATATGAGGTGTGGGATGAGAGAGAAAGAGAGAAGGCAGGGATGGGCCCAAGATTTGGGGCCGGAGAAGCTGGAAGGCTGGAGTTGCCTTTTACTGCCATTCATGGAGAGGGGACACGGGGAAAAGGAGGTTTTGCAGGGGTAAGAGTTCAACAGTTAAGCCTTGGATGAGGTAAGTTTGAGATATAATTAGAGATCTAAATGGAGACATTGAGTATCAGTCCTATATAAACATAGTCATATAATTTAACAGCTACTGGAGATTGGGGAAAGTCTGGGCTGGAGAGGGAGATTTGGGAGTCCTCAACATAGAGGTGGTACCTAATGCCATGGGCTGGATCAAATCACAGGGGTCCGTATAAATAGATAAGACGCTAGAGGTCTGAGCCCTGGGGGCTCCAGTACGTAGAGGTCAGGAAGACAAGAAGGCGGCAGCAAAGAAGGACCAGGAAGGAGCTAACTTTGATGTAGTCAGACAAGCAAGAAAGAAGCCGCCCCTCATCTCTGTCCCTCAGCAGGGAATTCAAGAAGGATGAGCCCCAAAAGTTGGCGATGGGTCAAGCTGGTAGAGCACTGAGATGTGCTGCACATGGGAAGGTGGCCTCACTGATGCCTCAATGGGGGCAGTTTCAATGGGGCTGGCAGGGAGTAAGCCCCGCTGGCCTGCACTCAGGAGAGGACGAGTCGAGAGACAAGGCAATATTTTTCTTTGGTTTGGTTTGGTTTAAAGATGAGAGAGGAAACAGAGAGCTAGGATGCTGGTGGGAATGATCCCGTTTCAAGGAGAGCATTGTTGATGCAGGAGAAGGGCAAGTGCTGGAGCTGGAATATTGGATGGATTGAGCTAGAACAGTAGAAGGGGGAGAGTGAGTGGGGTGCTTGAGGTTGCGAAGTGGCGGTGGTGAAGTTGTTGGCAGTGCCAGCGTCTACAGTATGACCATGGGAGCGAGTGGCTGAGGTGGGGTGGAGGATGAGATCGTTTCATGGCCCTGAATTGTTCTTCCTTCGTCTCATGGTCCGTCATCCTCGCTGGAGCGGGAGGATGTGGTGCCTGGACCTTATCAGCATCACTGGATCCCATAGTATATGCATATAGCAGGCTTTCAAGATATGTTTATCGCACTCTTCTATCTCTGTTTCAAATAATGACCATAACAGTGACTCTCCACGTTTCACTAAATTTATCCAGACGAGAATCTGGATGAATCATCTGGATCAAGGTCACCTTAGAAGTCCAAGGTATTTGTCAGCCTGTCAAGCACAGGCCTTTGGCTGATCTGCCTCTGAGTCAGCTGCCTCTGGGTTGCTATCTTGGGTATTGGTTCAAATTACTAGGCTTGGTTCACCTAAGCCCCTCTGCACCCTCCCCCACATCCTGCTTGCTTCTGAACCATGTGTGACCTCCTTCTGCCCTCCCTTCTTCCCTCATCCCCGCCCCTCAGCTCCCCACTGTACTCTTCCCTTCACCTAGTCTCCCTCACCTCCATCCTCCTCCTCCTCTCTTCCTTCTCTTCTTTTCTCCAGCCTTCACCCCAAACCCATCTATAGGTTCTAGCCTCAAGTACTAGGGGCAGCTGCCTCGGGGCTCTTCCTGGCTTTCCTCAAGCTGGTCCCACACTTTCAGAAACATGTGTGTGTTCAGCCAGTGGTCCACTCTGACCCCAGCTTCCTCTTCCCCTCGCTTTCCAGGTACCTTGGTGCCACTCTCCTTCCGGTCCTCTTCTTTTAGCAAGGGTTGGGTTTCTTTGGCGTGGCTGAAGGAGAAGGCTGTCAGAGTAGGAGCAGACTGAGATGAAAGCAGGGCAGGCTTCTCAGGGGCAGCAGACCTGTCTCTGATGGGCAGGACCAAAGGTTTTGGCTCTGAGGAGTAGAGAACAAGAATGGAGCTGAGGACGCCCAGCACCCATGAGCAGCAGCCATCCCTTTGGGGCTGAGGCTCTATGACCCTGTGGTTGGTGTGACATTTTCCTGCCTAAGCCCCTCACCCTCGGTTCTTCTGCCCAATGCTTCCTTGCTGGAGAAAGACACAGGTTAAATTTACTCTACAGGGCGGCACTGGCACGTATAGAACAGGCTGCCCAAGGACAAACACCCTCCTCCTTTCATCCCTCTATCCATTCATTCAACTAGTATTGCACACCTTGTTCTAAGACTGGGGGTGGGGGGATGCAGGGAGGGAGGAGGGAGGAGGCTGGGCAGGAAATAGGGGCAGATCAGTTATCTAAGAGTTTTAAGATATTTCCTGAGAATGTAAGTCTGTTTTAACAGGGAGGTGTGTACTTCAGAGAAAGGAAAAATAAAATGAGCCCACTGACTGTTATATACCACCATGCTCCCATCTGAGACTATGACACAGCATGAAGGGCCCAGAGAACTAATGCCAGCCCAGGGCTCTCATTTTACAGACAGGAAAGCTGAGACCCAGCGACCTTCAGGTGCTCTTACGATTGATAAAATACCAATTCATTTCCAAATGACATCAAATCCATAGTATCTCTTTGTCATTCTATATTTTCCCAATTAATGGCTTCAAAGAGCACACTTCTGGTAATAGAGGCAGTGTGCAGGTAGGTTTATTCGTTTTCTCTCTTTTTTAAAAAATTAATTTATTAATTTATTTATTTTTGGCTGTGTTGGGTCTTCGTTTCTGTGCGAGGGCTTTTCTCCAGTTGCGGCGGACGAGCGAGGGCCACTGTTCATCGCAGTGCGCGGGCCTCTCACTGTCACGGCCTCTCCCGCTGTGGAGCACAGGCGCCAGACGCGCAGGCTCAGTAGTCATGGCGCACGGGCTTAGTTGCTCCGCGGCATGTGGTATCTTCCCGGCCCAGGGCTCGAACCCGTGTCCCCTGCACTGGCAGGTGGACTCTCAACCACTGTGCCACCAGGGAAGCCCCCATTCGTTTTCTTTTAATGAAAGAAATGTTAACCAGGTTCTCCTGCTCACAAAGTTTGGAGTTCACTGTCCTTGAGTGAACTTGCAAATCAGGGGTCCTCTGGGATGGGGGTCACCATCTGGGGCTGCCTGAGGCTGAAAAGGGTATGTTTTTTTTTCTTTTCTTTTTTTAAAATATTTATTTATTTATTTGGACACATCTGGTCTTAGTTGCGGCACACGGGATCTTCCTTGTGGCACGTGGGCTTCTCTCTAGTTGTGGTGCGTGGGCTCAGTAGTTGCGATGCAAGGGCTCTCTAGTTGTGACACATGGGATCCAGAGCACATGGGCTCAGTAGTTGTGGCATGTGGGCTTAGTTGCCCCATGACATGTGGGATCTCAGTTCCCTGACCAGGGATCAAGTCCGTGTCCCCTGCATTGGAAGGCGGATTCTTAACCACTGGACCACCAGGGAAGTCCCAGAAAGGGTGTGTTGAGTATGGGGGTCCAGCAGGGCTCCCGGGTTACCCCAGATCTCTGCCCGGCCCACACCTTCTGCCAAAGATCCCTCCTGGGAGAAGGATCCAGGGCCGAGGGGGAGGAGGGGCAAAGCCTCCATCTGCCCAGAAGTAAGGTAGGACCGAGGGTACAGGTGTCCAGGTGCCAGCTGACCAGGGCAGGGACTGCAGAAAAGCCACAAGATTGGGGGAAGCCCTCAGCTTCAGACAATACCACGTGAGCCCCTACTACATGCCAGACGTGGTCCCCAAATCGGGCAATGTTCTTCCCAGCCAACAGCTGGAGGTTCAGAGAGCCCCATAAGGACTTTGCCACTTTGTAGCCCCTTCTCACCTATGCCTCCAAGAGACACCCTAGAAAGCCTTGTCCAAGCAGCCTGGCCCATGCCCCCTGGGGACCTGGTTCTCAAGCAGCAAGCTGGTGAGGCACACAAGGGAGTAGCTACAGGCTCGTGTCCCCTGACCCAAAGCCCCATTCCAGTGCTCTCAGGGTAGCTCTTAAGGGACACTGGGTGCCAGTGTGAGCCACACCAGATTGCCCCAGCTACCCTGCAGAAGCCCAGCCGGGGAGAGGGGGAGATGCAGCCACCACAGAGGTTTCTGTGTTAGGCCTGCCTCTCGGGCCCAGCTGAGCATCTTAACCCTGGGGCCTCTTGGGCAGCAGCCTCCCCCTGGGCAACTGACCCATCTGCTGAGCTGATTACAGAGTAACCTGCTGGGAAGCTAGACAAGAGTCCACTCTCTCCTGCCGGTCAGCACAGCAGCTGCCTCTAGCCCCCCAACGCCTGCAGCCCAGACTCAGGGTGCTCCGCCCAGGTCCCCTCCCCCAACCTTCCATCCTCTCCACAAACTAGGTCATCAGGCTGGACAGCCTCCCTGGGCCTCGGCCACCTGCCTCACTGCCAGCCCGGGTTCGCTCTCTTCCCCTGATGCTAAAACCTTCCGGGATGGGCTGACTAAGGCATTGTGGGATGTGGTTTAATTTCTCACTCTGTCTGGAGAGGAACCCTCTATTCACTTAGAACCACACAGGGGCAGCAGACACACGATGGGTCAGAAGCGCCAGCTTTGGAGCCGTGAGGACCTGCGTGCAAATGTATCAAGGCTGCTTTCTGTGCCCTGAGGCCAGGGAGAAGGTTCAGCTTCAGTTCAACCCCTTCCTCTGTCAAATGGGGACGGCGCCGTCTCTCTCAGCTGGGTGCTCATGAAGTGACTTGCGCTGGTGGAGGGCGGCACAGAGCAGGGGCCACCATCCGTGGAACCAGGGTGGCTTCTGCTTTCCCGTCTGTGAAATGAGGGGCTTCAGTCTGACAGCACCCAGGTCTCCTCTGGCCCTAATTCTGATCGCGTGATCCAGCCCAGGAACCAGAGAGTCAAAAAACACATGGGGGTGTGCACGGCGAGTACATACCCAGAGATCTGGGGGTCTTCTCCCGAGGCCCACTCTCCCGAACCAATCTTAAAAGAATGGGGGAGAAAAAAGCACTCATGAGAGATGGCAAGCAAGAGCTCCTGCTGTGAGGAACCCAGGCTAGCTCAAGGAGGGGGCAAGGGCCGAGGGGGAACACAGCCGAGGGAGCCGTGGGTGGCCCTGTAAAGAGGCTCCTGGCCAGGGCTTCAAAGCCACAGGAGATGCAGTCCCTTCTGCAAACTTGAGGGCAGGCTGACTGGCAGGCCAGGCCAGGCCAGCCTCAGTGTCCAGACACAGCTCCGAGCCCTATTTTCCAGAGGCACAGCCCATCCATTCCCGAGGAAGCCAGGCTCCACATGAAACTGCTCAGTCCAAAAGGGAGCCCCGTGCCCTGCTCTGTCCGCAGGAGAGCGGCTGCTGCAGATGAGGATAAATCTCCTTCCAGCTCAGAGCAGACTGAGTTCAAGTCCTCCAAACTGCCCCCACTCCATGAGAGCTCCGTGATCCCCCAACCCTTGCCCCTCAGGGTCTAGAGGGATTGACCCCCTTTGCTGCTGATGGGAAATCACCACTGTTTTGTAACAGAGGTTCAATCCCAAACTAAGCACAGGAAAGGAAGATGGGGCATTCCCGGCACTGGTTTTAGCGGGAATACAGCATCACTAAGACAGATGGCAATCCCTGCCTTCATGAGGCTTACATTCCCGTGAAGACCAGCTATACATCACCCAACATGGATTTTTCTCCTCTCACGGGGAAATGCATAGACAGCAGAACCCCCTGGGTGGCTGACAGGGTCACAAGCCACAACGAAACGACTAGAACACAACATCCTGTGCTCTGGCCTCAGAGGATTCACTCAATGGAATGACTCAGGCCGGGGTGGCTAGAAGACAGGCAGTAGGAGAGCCCATTTCAGTGCCTGCCCAGATCCAGGGGCCCCTATCCGAGGGGTCTGTGGAGGTCAGGGGACCCGAGGTCTACAGGAGGGGCAGAGCTTCAGGGTGGGCCTGGACCAGTCAAGGCTCAGAGTTGCTCTCTGGAACACGCACAGCCTCTTGGATCTGGACCTACATGGAGGGGTTGTGTGTTTTGCAGCCAGTAAGCAAACACCCCAGGGCACCCAGCCTAGGGAGCCTGTCCACTGCGTCTTCGCCATGGAACCCACCACTGCCCAGGAGCACTAACAGGTTTGGGGGCAGAGGTGGAGCTGGGAAAACCCTGTGGTTGCCCCTGGCTGCCTGAAGTGGGCACGGGGCACCAAAACCCTGGGGCTGCTTCCTTCCCCCAGGCCCAGCCGCGTCCCGCTCCTGGCCCACAGCTTTACCCCTTTGGCCTCAAGCTGGAGGTTGCTTTTCCTCAGAGCACATGGCTTTGCCTCCTTCAAACCGTGGACCTTGGGAAACCTCTCGCCTTCCCTTCTCTAGAGACCCATCAGCAGAAAGGACAGAGGCCAAGGCTGCCTACACCCACCAGAGCCCCTGCCTTTCTCCACACAGCGTTCCAGCTCCTCCCCCGTCTTCCAAATCCACGGAAATCCCACCACCGGCTGAGGTGGACCCACCAGGCCCCATGAGAAGCGGGGGAACAGCAAAGCTCTACCTGCAGCAAGAGCCCCTCCCTGTGCCAGGCCGGACGTTTAAGCATCCGCCAGTGTCCCTGGGCAACACAAGCTGAACCCATCCACGAGTGGCCACACCACCGCCCCAAACCTGCCACTCCTCCCAATTCCCTGTCCCCGTCAAGGTGCCACCATCGGTCCAGCTGTTGAAGCCAGTAGCTCTGGCGTGGTCCTCAGCTCCCCACCCCAGTGGTCCCACAGCAAGCCAGTCACCAGGCACGCCCCACTCCTTCACCTGTCGAGCCCCTCTGCGTGCTAACCACCTGGGACCACGGCCTCCGTCGTGCTCAGGTGCCCATGGCTCCTCCCCCAGATCCCTGCAGCAGCCCCCGAATCAGCAGGCACAGCCCATGCCACTCCATGGTTGCCAGAGTCGTCTTCCTACGTCAGATCTGATGTCACTTCCACACCACAAAGCCCGCGGTGGCACCTCACTGCTTCAGGGTAAAGGTCGTAGTCCACAGCGTAGCACAGGGGCCCTTCAGCCCTGCTTACCTCACCCACCTGTCACACACAAGCACAGATGCTGCCGCAAAACTCCCGGTAGCTCCCTGAATCCCTCAGTCACGCCTCCTTCCTGACTCTCCCGTTTCTCCAGCTCACAGACTCTCCCTCAGCCTTCAAAACTCAGCTCAGCCCTCGCCTCCACCAGCCTGATTGAGATCACTTTCCACTGCGCTCCCCAGCACGAGGGGCAGCCTTCTATCTTAGCACTTACCTCACTGCACTTTGAGTCAACGGTTTACTAGTAAATATCTCCCGTGAGCTCCTAGAACACAGAGACTGTCTTGTCGGGCTTTGCTTTCACCTGGCACAATGCCTTACTGGTGCTCAATAGCTTTTAAGTGAGTACATGGATGCATGGATGCATGGCTGGTTGGCAGGATGGATGAAATGGAAATGGAGGCTCCCTCCCAGCCATTTGTTAGCCTCACAGAGGCAATGGAGAGAAATCCACGCCACAACAAGACAGCAAATGGGCAGATGCTTATTGTGTGACTAATCCATGGCCGAAACCAAGCTTGACACGATGGGAGCCACAGAGATTTCCAGATATGGCCCCTGCCTTGTAGTTCTCCAAGTTAAAGAATAGAAATGAGGTTTAAATAAACGTGGAGCAAATCAGTGGGCGGGAGGTAGTCAGGCAGTGCACAGGCTGGATGCCTGTGGACAGTGCTGAGAAGGCACTTCCCTTCCCCACTCCCCTGAGGAG